TAAAGGATTTGAAGTGAAGCAGATAAGAGGAACACCATACGTACTTTATGAGACCATCCTCCATGTAAATGTCAGCGTAGAAGGACTGGTCATCGTTGACTATTCTGCCTCCTTTAATCAGAAGACGATCACTCTGTAAAAGGAAAAAATAAAAGAAATAATGAGCAATACACTGTTCATATATTTTCCACCTTATCATGAAGCATTTCTACTTTGCAAGAAGTTTTTCTACTGCAATATGGACACACATAGCAAAAAGCCCACCAAATCTAAAGAACAAGGATCAGTTTAAAGCACAAGGGCTCAACCTCTGGCCTACAGGCTAAACGTATCCCACAGAGCCTTGGAATTTGGCCCATGGGGCTCCCCAAGGGTCAGGAAATTTGGCAGCGGGGAAGCAATAGCAGTTAATATTGCCACCCCTCCTCGTTGCCAAAATCCCAAGCCCCACTCAGTGGGTCAAGGGCAAGGCACGACATTCCTCCTGCATGGCTAGATCAGGGCCAGGCCATGCCTTCTTCCCTCTGGATGATTGGTTTGGGGCCAGGTCATGCCCCCTCCCCTTGCACAGCTGGTTTGGGGCTGACCCATGCCCCCTTCTGCTCCCCAGCCCCAATCTGGACTATACCCCCTTCCCTCCCCCGGCCATGATTGGTCTGGGCACACCCCCTTGCTTTCATGGGGCCAGGCCATGCCCCCTCCTCCTTCGGGGCTGGTTCAGGGACCGGCAACACCCTCTTCCCTGACACGGATGGATTGGGGCCAGGTGGAGCCCTGTCGTGCCTGCCCCTCCGGTACTGGATTGGGTCTACTGGCCAGATTCACTTTGTGAAGGGACCAGGCACTGCTTATCTGGCCCACTGGATGTAAAGGTTGAGCACCACTGGTTTAAAGGATTCATTTAAACAACTATTTATAATTGCAGAGGTGAAAAGTAAAGGTAAGGATTGGAAAATTTACATTCATATGATTTTAAATTATTCCTTTATAGATCAAATTGTTGCAGAAATAGAAGCCAAACAACATGGAGGACGGAGAAATAATGTGAAACAGGTTTAAACTACAAGAGAGAAGGCAAAGTTTCCTAGATTCCAGTATACAAATAATGAATGCATACCTATTGTATATGCCACATATATACTGGCTGATCTAATATCCAGTACGAGTCTTTTCACTGACTTCACTAAGACTGTCAGCACCTGGCATAAAATAGCAAGAAAACTAAGACCACTTCAGATATTTTTCTTCTCTTACACAAAAACTAGAAGGTTAATAGAACTTTACATGGGGCAACAGTCAATTCAGCTAAGATGGTAATGCCTCCAGTGCAGTACAGAAAATATCAGGATGAAATACTGTTGTGCAATTGTCCCCAGATATTCAGCCAGGCTAAGGGACGACTGCAAAACCCCCTCCAAAATTAAGTGGATCAGAAACTGTGGATTGTGAGTATATGGCATCAGCTGTCTTTGCATAGGGACAACTGTGGATTGTGAGTATATGGCATCAGCTGTGTGTGCATAGGGACCCCCCCTGCCATGCCACAAGGATAGCTGGTAACCTACATCCCCACTGCTGTGTGCCCATCAAAGGCAGGCAGTCAGGTTGGTAACACAAGTCCAGTGACCCGACACTGTGAAAAGCTACCGTTTTTCTTGTAGTGAAACAGGTCCCTAGCCACCGATAAAGTCATCAAGGGTAAGAGCACAATAAACAAAATAATGGTGGGAGCTGCTAAAAGAGCCGATCTCAAGCTTGCAAACCAAACTCTGTTGTGAGGCTCAGTCTACACGTACCATTGACATCCTGAGATAAGGAACAGAGACCCATTTTAACTGCTCAAGGCTGCCTGAGCAGCTGAACTACAGGGATACAGTTCCCTCCAGAGGCACCACAGTGTCCTCTAAAGGAAATATGTAGCAGTATCTAAACAGGCTGGCAAGGAATCTCTTTCAGTCCTCCGAGTTTTGTAAGCCAATTGTTTCCTTTAAAGCCCCAAATCTTTAATTTACTCTTGGTTCCATCCAGTGCCCACGACCAAGTCTTGCACCTCCCCATGCAGAGAAAGGAGGCTTCAAGTTCCCGTCTACCATCAAGACATACAACTAACTGGAACTCTTGGTTCCAAAATGATACCTTTTATTAGACCAACTGGGAAATTGCAAGAAAACTGTCCTTTTCTTTTCTTCTCTTTTCAAGAAAAGGACAGTTTTCTTGCAATTTCCCAGTTGGTCTAATAACGAGGAATCATTTTGGAACCAAGAGTTCTAGTTTTTTGTATGTCTTCTTGTCTCAGACCAACACGGCTACCAAGTACATCCCTATCTACCATCAAAGCCCCCAACCAACATTGACTGAAGGTTGTGGTCCCACCATTCAAGCTCAATCCAACCTCCCTCCTTCAGCCTCAAGGAGTTTCAATTCCTCCTCCTTCTCCAGGTTACTGGAGTGCTCTCTGGAAATATCACCATAGCAATGGCAATTTGCAACCTCATTTCGGTAGTAGCAGCGTGGGGGAAAATCCCCCGGGGGTCAACTCTGTTTGCAACAGTCAAAGCCCCCGAGAGCTGTATGTTGATAACCTTCCTTGTTCACAGACATTGAAGACAAAGAAATGGGGTGGGGAAGGGATCTCAAACGCTCCGAACACTGACCGCATTTTAGTTCTGGGTCTAGGAGAGAAAGCTCTTGGAAATTAGCCACCGTTTCACAGCATTTACCCTGCAAACGTTCCCTTGTTGTACACCAAGCACTTGATTTCCAGCAGCTGACAGAGTATTAAACAAATCACAAAGGCAGAGCCCACTGGGAAAAACGAAAGAGATGCCAACGGAGATAAATCATTCATCCCATGCATCAAAATGGCCTCTGCAGAAACAAAGAACTATGCCTTCCTCTCTTCCATTTCTTGGCTGAATGAAGGGCAGGACATCAGACCAACCTGCTTGAAAGGGCTCATATGCTAGGGGAATTGGGGAGAGTCTGTAGGTTACATAGTTAGCTGAAGAAACAAAAGGGAGAGTTTCTAATGGGAAATACGAAAAAGCAAGCGTCAAAGAGGCAAAGGACCACGGGAGTCCCGGCAGCGGGTACTGGGTATGACACTGGGCTGGGAAACAGAAGACCTGGAGTAAGTCACAGCTAGAGGTGCACCGATACATTGGTCCGATACTGGATAGGCACTGATAAAAAGAACATTTTCTGTATTGGCCTGATATAGCCAATAAATGGCCTGTGCATGCGCAGAGCCGCAGCGCAGCATGTAGGTGGCGAGGACCACAGCCGGGCAGCTTGAAGAGCTGCGTGCAGCTGGTAAATCTGGTGTGGTGGAAGGGGAGGGGGAAAGGAAGGGGCATGGGGAGGGCATATCAAGGCCCCCGCAGTGAGGGAGGAGTGGAGCTAGGGCTGGGGCAAGCACTGCCCAGCCAGAACGGGGCAGGTGCAGGACTGAGCCACAGCTTGTCCAGGGGACACAGGGGGGACGTGGCTCCTGCCACTCATCCAGCAACCCATGGGTGGTGGGGTGAGAAATGTGTGACCCTGGATCTGTGTGGGGCCAGTGCTGCACCAAGCTCTTCCTGGCAGGGCTGGGCTGGGCTGGGGGCAGATAGTGGCAATGCTGGGACAGGGGCATGGAACAGGTGAGCTGCAGCCATCCCAAAATTCACCGTAGCTTCTTCATCCCCCCAGTCCCAGTGCTGCTGTCGCTCACCCTGCTGGGAAGAGCTTGGTGCAACCCTGGCCCTGTGCAGATCTGGAGGCACACCCCCAATGCCTGCCCGGATGAGCGGCGGGAGCAGCAGTAGGAGCTGTCGGACGAGTGGGCGAGTGCTGGACCAGTGGCTCTCACACAAGCGGCGTGCAGAGGCAGGAACCTCCCTGTAGCCCCCAGACGAACCATAGCTCTGTCCCGTGCCTGCCCTGCCCCAGTTGGGCAGCGCTTGCCCCAGCCACTGCTTCACTCCTCCCTCATTGCAGGGGCCTTGATTTGCTGCCCCGCCACACACCCCTTCCCCCCGCACCAGACTTAGCAGCTGCATGCAGCTCTTCAAGTTGCCAGGCTGGTATCGGAAATCAGATCAGTATTGGCTGATATGCCTCCTTAAAAATCAGCTACTGGTATCGGCCCCAAAAACCTCTATCGGTGCACCCCTAGTCACGGCCACACAGTGCATAAGTTTACATGAGCCACTACTGCGCAGTTGGTATGGTGCATTTACTTAATACTTGTATTAGTAAGTACTAAAAAAATGTGTGGTAACTAGAGTTACTGTGCAGTAACATCAGCGAATGTCTTTTAGGTGACGCTACTGCATAGTAGCCTAATAATACTGCGCAGTAGTGCATTAACACCATCTGTGCTGCAATGTGCTACTGCACAGTATTTTTCGGCTACTGCACAGTCAGAGTCTCGTGTAGATGCGCCCTCTCTCTCAATTTTACCATTGCATCGCCATATAATGAGGATATCAAGGCCTCTTTCACTCCAGCGGCTCTTTGAAATGGATAGGTGAAAAGCACTATGTAATGATTTACTAACTGACTGATTCTGGTTTACTCCTTCAGCCAAGAAATCATGTCAGGAAAGCCGAGCTTGGTGGTTATGGCTATTGTAAACCTCCATTATCCAAATGTTTATCTGCCATCTCTGCTGCGTCTCGAGTTCCCTGCTGCTGCACTGCTTGTTTTGTATCCTGTCCAGTCTTAACAGATAATGACTGGGTATGGGAACCAGCGGGAAAAGAGAACTTAACCCAGCTCTAGCAAAGGGGTTTAGAAGAGAGGCGGGCAAAATACGGCCCTGCGGGTTGCATTTGGCCCTCCATCTGCCCCCCGGGACCCCTCCATAAACCCTGGTCCTTGCTGGCTTCCTGCAAGCGCGTCCCTGCAGGAGGTGCAGCTCTGGACGCAAAGCAACCACCCCGCACCCCAGCCTGGCCTGACCCACCCCAGCCCTGAGCTAGCGGGTGCTGGAGACAAGGAGCCTCTGCCTGGCAGAGGCTTTTTAATTTTTTGCCAGCAACCCCATGGCTGTTCCCAGCTTCCCTGCCTGCGAGAGTGAGAGTTCAGCTGAGGGTCCCACAGGCCAGGGCCAGGGACTCCCGTTGCGGGAAAGGGACCAGAGCACAGGGT